GTCTTCTTTTTCGCAAGGGGGGATTCGACCTATCTGTCTACTCTGACTCTGACTGGGCCCATGATAAAGATGATCGCAAGTCTACCACGGGCTACACACTCCTACTCGGTCCTAATATCATCTCTTGGTGCACGAAAAAGCAGACTCGTGTTTCTAGATCATCCACTGAAGCTGAATATCGAGCTATGGCTGCAGGGGTTGCAGAAGCTATGTGGCTTCGATATATCACTGATGCACTGGGTATTCCTCCGTCCAAACCGAAGTTATACTGTGACAATGAGTCGACTATATGTGTCACCAAAAATCCGGTTCTTCATGATCGCATGAAGCATGTGGGCACAGACTGTCACTTTGTACGAGATGAGGTTATGGCAGGCACTATGACTCCACATCATGTTTCCTCCTCAGAGCAGCTAGCAGACATTCTTACCAAACCGCTTCCGCCAGTTCCTTTTGAGTACTTATGTTCCAAGCTGCCCCTCGTCTCCGTTGATCAGCTTGCGGGGGGATATTAGGAAGTATAATTAAATTAGGATACTTCTTTCCTTTCCTACTAGGATTATTCTTTCTTTTCCTACTTGTACTTTGATTACTCTTGTATTCTCTATATATAGAGCCATATCTCTCAATATTCAATAAGACAAGTTATTATCAAATTGTATCAAATGTAAATTTTTTCATAAAGTTTATTTCATTGTTTAAAAAATTGAATTGAAATTAAATTTAATAAAGTACCCCGGAGTATTGTATTTCTTGTGATTTTAGTGATGCGTGGGAGCTAATAAAACATTTGATGTATTTTAAATGTAAATTTTTTAATATTTTCTCCACTATTTGAAAAATTAAACTGAAAATAAATTTATTGAATTATCGTTTTTTTTGGTGTGTGATTTTAGTGATGCGTGGGAGCTAATAAAACATTTGATGTATTTTAAATGTAATTTTTTAAATATTTTTTCCATTATTTGAAAAATTAAATTGAAAATAAATTTATTGAATTATCGTTTTTTTGGTGTGTGATTTTAGTGATGCGTGGGAGCTCCGTATAAAGTATCCTGGCGGTGGTAACTGTTAAATTTAGGTGAATGACATGTGCTGTGAGTTGAATTGAGAGAATATTTTTAGTTCTTTTACTCGTATGGTAGAAAACACAATTAGCATGCATGCAATGTATGCATGATGGGGCAGAATCTTTGTTTGAATAAATTGACGGAATGTTTTCTACATCCTCAAGGCTATGAATGAAAATGATTTTGGATGTGTATACCATCTTTCATTCATACTTTCAAATTTTAATACTCCACTCCATAATAATGATTTCATTTTTCCTCTTCTCTTAAAAAGGAAAATTCATTGTGATTCAAAATATTAATCGTTTTTAAAATAAAAATTCACAATTTACGTTTAAATATTTTATACCCTTACGCCCAAGTTGTTTCTTTTCATCTCAATGATTTTGTTTTCAATACACTATATTTGATTATAGATGTATCTAAAATCAAAAAATAAAATTTATATATTTAAAAATTAGATAAAAAGTTCTATAAAACTTGAGGTGATCGACATGATTATATTAAATTATGAAATAAATAGTAAAATAAATAAAATAAAAAAAATAAAGTTTGATCGTGTGAATAATGTATTGAAGGAACTAGCTTAAACCGAGGGAATCGAGGGAGTATTTCATTTCTTAATTTCTAAAAATTGTAGGGTGTTATCAGATATTAGAGAATATTTTATTTGTAAATGAGCTTAGACAACTTAATTATCTGCCTAAACTAAAGTCATGTACTTCAATTCCCCCGTTCTCAAAAAGACTTCTTCTTTCATTTTTTTTCACTTCCAAGAAAACACTTCCACTTTCTATTAAAAAATAACTTACCCTTACATTTTCATACTGTACCTACCACGTCATAAGTTTTCTCTAATAATTTATCCATCACATCTTACTTTTACTCATCACATCAAGGGTAAAATTTGAAGTCAACTATAATTTAACACTTTCTTATTTTTATACTTGGTCAAGCAAGCTGTCAAGCTAGAAACCCTTTTCTAGAATGGAGGGATATGTACTTATCTATATTCTGGTGAATACTCAATAACACACATAATAGTTCTATGTATTTAGAATAATATGGATAATTGAAATAAAATATTATTACTCCCCGCGTCTGGAATAATGTTTTCGTCTCTCTTTTTTCTCCGTCCGGAAATAAAGTTCCCATTTCTAATTTTAACACACTCTCTTTCAAAAATATCCTTATCAAATTCCGACCCATTACTCTTTCCCACAATGTTTCCTCTCTTCATTAACTTATTCGCCCGTTCTTTCATATCCTCGTATTTACACAATTCCACAACTGTTCATCTCCTCATTTATATTTTTGCACATTCTTTCATCTCTTTGCATTTACATCTTGTATAGATCTAGATCTATACAGATCTACTCAATTTCTCTCCCTCTCTCGCACAACTAGATTCTATTAGATCTTCGATTTGCTTCGACTAACCCTAGATTACTTTCCTCTCTAAGAACTCTGTATTTTCATTTCTTGTACCAGTGATAGGGACCCATATCTTCTAGGCCACCCCCCACGATCATGACATGAGTTTTGTCCAAAATAAATTGCTAGACAAATGCATTGGGCAAGTGACTTGTATAAATACCCCCTCCACTTTGGAGGAGGATGATCACAACCTCACTAAGCAATAATACACTAATACCGCACTCTTGCAACCTAGGAGAACTATGCTCTTTAATTTACTCTCCTCCCCTAGTCTACTCTAGACCTGGATTCTAAAACCCATCACTGTCTTAAGCAAGAACGGAAGAG